GCCTCCCTGGGCTCTGCGCTCCCTGGAGGGCAGGCGCCCGGTGGCCTTCTCACTCCGCTTCCCAGAAGCCTCAGCGCGCGGCCTTCTCACACACATCTTCCCAGAAGCCTCAGCGCGCGGCCTTCTTACACACATCTTCCCAGAAGCCTCAGCGCGCGGCGCGGCCGAGATAAAAAGGCGGGAGCGAGGCGGGCAGCTCCCTTCCTGCGCCGTCCAGCGCCGGGCTGGGTGGTGCGACCTTTTGCTTTTCTACCCCATACTCCTCGCAGGCTGCTCCGCAGGCGCCCCTGGACGGGACTCCCTCCGGCAGCAGCGCAGTTCTACGGGAAGGCGACGACAAGGGGCCCCGAGGCCTGCGGGTGGATGGCAATGTGGCCGCTCCGGGTCTACACCCGCAAGAAGAGGACCGGCCAGAGGCTCAACCTGACCCCGACGCCAGACCCCGGCCCACCGGTGATGGCAGAGGCACTCCCAGGTCCGAGCCGACGGCTCGCTGCCCACCGTAAGCTCTGCCAGACTGGCCTGCATGGGAGCATGGAGGTGCGGGTGGGGGAGGGAGTTGGCAGCTGGGCCTCGCCCCCAGGGACCCCCGGAGTCAGAAGGCTGGCCTCCCAGGCGTTGGCCCTGACACGAGCTGCCCTCCTTCAGGCCCGAAAGGACACGGCAAAGCTCATGGGCTGCGGAAGATCGCCGAGAACGTGGAGCGCAGTGGGCGGGGCGGTAGCAGCCCTGGGCTGCCCAGGTGCGTAGCCGCGAGGAACAGCCCTGTGCATTCTGGCCTCCTCCTCAAACCTACAATCCTAATTTTCTAGCAGCCAAGAGCCTCTCATTCTCAGAGTCAACGAAGAAAATAAATAAATAGAAACTCTGATTCCGTTCTTCTCAGAACATAGACCCAGAAATTTGACTTCAGAAAATAACTATTTACAAGAGAAAATTTTGCCAACTCACCTAAAAGCAAGTGAGATAAAACACCCAGAAAGCATTCATGGCATCAGTTGGGTATTGGTGCAGTTCACCAACTCTGCTCCTTCCTTTTCCCTAAGGATGTCCCCCAAAGAGCCTTTCAGAGTCTGAACAGTGTGCCACGGGGAACAGAGACCTGGAGAACCAAGGCCAGACGGTGCAAACTAATCGTGTTGTTTGTCTGTTAGCTCTCAATTAGGAGTTGCAGGAGAGAGAAGCCTGCGGGAAAGTAGCACTAGTGAAGAGACTGAGGATGAGAAGATTGCTCCATTGAGCGTATGTATGTTTCTCCTATGACCCGTGGATACACTTAGCGGACAAACCAGCAGTACCTGCTGTACCGCCAGATGAAAGTATAGTGTGGTCTTTGTTCAGTAGAGACTACATAGCTTTTTAATGTTTTTATGAACATTGATGCTGTGTCTTCAGACAGAGCCTTGAATTTCTGATTCTGGCAGATTCATAGCCATGCATTTTTGTTTTTTCTTTCCCTTGACAAAAATTTCAGAATAGTCTGACACTGGCTAATTTTCTGTATGACAGATATAAAACCTTTCTAATGATTCTTGTGTTTCTAACTCCCTTATGTTTGGTAACATTTTAAAGTCATTTTCATGTTTTCCCATTAATGACTAGAAACAGGATTCATTACCTTTAGAATGTTATATAACTTTTTGATCTGCATTTAATATGGACTCTGTTCAGTATTTTAAAGATGGGTAGCAGTAGTTTGGAGAGACTCGGATATAAAAAATTATTTGTGACTCATCTGATATTAGCATTAAAGTTGATAGTTATGTTCCAGTATTTTCTCTCTAGCATGTTTGTTTGTTTTTTTATTGAAGGGCATATTCAGCAAAAAGCATTTTTTAAGGCTTTTCCCTTCAATTATAACTATTAAGTGTTCCTTGTAGATGATTCAAACTACTCAAGTGTTTTAAGCAGCTTCTTCTAATTTTTATATATTTCTTCCTATTCTGATTTTGTGCCTTTTTTTCATTTTACAAGTTATGTTATTGTAAATTCCTTTAACATTAAATAGTCTTCAAAAATATGCTTTTTAGCCCTGACCGGTGTGGCTCAGTTGGTTGCGCATTGTCCCATACTCTGAAAGGTTGCCAGTTTGATTCCTGGCAAATGCCTGGGTAGCAGGCTAGATCCCAGGTAGGGGGTATGCAGGAGGTAGCAGATCAATGTTCTGCTCTCATATTAATGTTGCTCTCTCTCCCTCTCCCTTCTCTCTCTAAAAAAAAAACACAAAACAATAAAAATATTTAAATATATAGATATAATTTTTAGTGTCTTGCATAATGCATTGTCTTACAGATATATTATAATTTGAATAACTGTTTTCCTATAGTTGGAGGATTAAAATTGTTTCCAAGGTTTTGCTGTTATAGTTATCAGTGGATATCTTACTGCAGAAGGTTTTTTGTGTTCCTCGATTGTTGTCCCAAGAAAAATACTTTCCAATGAGTCAAAGGTTGGATCATATTTAAATTTTTTTATTCATGTTGGTAAATCAGCACCATCTTACCTGAAACTTAATATATATATATATGGTGTGTGTGTGTGTGTGTGTGTGTGTGTATTTATTAATTTATTTATTTATATGAAAGCCCAAGTGACCATTTGACCATTCGACCGTTAGCTATGACATGCACTGACCACCAGGAGGCAGATGGTCAATGCACAGGCATGGAAACATGGAACAGACTGATGAATCTCAGAGGGAGGGGGGAGGGGGGAGGGCAGGAAGAGATTAACCAAAGATCTTATATGCATACTAGAGGCCCGGTGCACAGATTCATGCACCAGTGGGGGTCCCTCGGCCTGGCCTGCGCGGATCAGGCCAAATTTGATAGATGAAAAGTGGAATATTGTTTCACTTTCCATTTCTTTGAATGCTAGTAAAGGTAAGAATTTTTTCTCTTATTTCATTGGCCATTTGTGTTTCTTTTTTGTGAAATAGTTGTTTATTATATACTGAAGATAGTTATGCTTTTACACACACATATATAACAAATATTTCCATATATTTTGGCCTTTAATTTTATTTCTGGTATTTTAGACTTAGCTGTCAATTTTTTTATCTATTTTGTTTCATATGTATAAGGAAAAAAGCCCTTCCTACTTAGGGGATCAGGAAGATATTCACCTTTATCTTCTGGTTTCTGGGGTATCCCATAGTAGTTAACTGACAGTTATTTTGTTGACTCCCTAGACATGTCTATAACTTATTTTCAGATTTAATATTAAGTACCAAATTATATCTGTGATCAGTAAGCTAAAAGGATCTATTATACATATGAAACTAATATACGAAGTTGATATTAGTTTTTCATTTTCAAAATGACCAAATCAATGTGATACAATATTATGATATAAAAATATTCAATCTCATAATTTGTGTTATCTTTAATTCTTATTTCACATAGGATTCTGTGACTGATGATCTCCAGATTGACAGTAGTTCATCAGCTGGTGAACTAGTATCAGGTAAGATGGTCAGATGTGAACTCCCTCAGTTTTCTTTCTTATAAGCATATGCATCAATTTATATCTCTGTCATCTTCCCATTTCAGTGAAAGAGGTGTTTTTCTCCTAGTCTAAGATGACTCCTTCAGCCAGGGCTCTGGCCCTCATCTTCTAACAGACCAGTAAATTACAATTGTGATAAGTGCTACAAAAAAGGGATTGACTTTAGTGTAACTAATTGAGTTTTGGTTGGGAGGTTAGGGAGGGCTTCCATGAGGGAATAGCAATTTAATTCATATCTGAAGAAGAGTAGAAATTATATATGCAAAGAGATGAATAGAAATTAACTGTGAAAAGAGTTCTATCACAATAATTTACTGGAAAATTCTTTATTCTAGTCCACTCTCGCAAGGATGACTTTAAGACTTCTGAGTCTGGGAGATTCTGTGTTAAAATATTTTGCCCATTTTCTTACTGAGATTTTTCCCCCCCCTTATTATTGAGTTTTCAGAGTTCTTTTACTTAACATTTATTTTTATTGATTTCAGGGAGAAGAAGGGAGAGGGGGAGAGAGAGAGAAACATCGTGATGACAGAGAATCATTGACTGGCTGCCTCCTGCACGTACCCCACTGGGGATCAAGCCCAGCAACTGGGCATGTGCCCTGACCGGGAATCAAACCGTGAGCTACTGGTTCATGGGTTGACCCTCAACCACTGAGCCACACCAGCTGGGCCAGTTCTTTATATTCTGAATTCCATTGCATTTGCAAATCTTTTCTCTTAATTTGTGGCTTATTTTTCATATTAACAGTCTCTTTTGAAGAGAAAATTTTAAATTTGATGAAGTCTAATTTATTATTCTATTGTTTTAATGACTTATCTTTTTATTGTTATATCAAAGATCAACCAAAGGATTTATATGCAAGCATATAGGCCTAACCAATGGACACAGACAACAGGGGGGTGAAGGAATGAGTGGGGGGGACAGGGGGTAACATGGGGATGACACATATGTAACTAGTGATCGGCAAACTCATTAGTCAACAGAGCCAAATATCAACAGTACTTCTTTAAAATAGACTCGCCCAGGCCGAAAACTGACTTCTGCGCATGGACCACGAAGTTTCAATCTCACTATACGTGCGCGCCCGCACATGGTATTTGTGGAAGAGCCACACTCAAGGGGCCAAAGAGCCACATGTGGCTCGCGAGCCGCAGTTTGCCGACCACAGACTTAATCAATAAAAAAATTAAAAAAAAAAAAAGAAATCTAACCCAATATCATGAAGATTTTCTCTGTTTTTTTTTTTTGTTGTTTTTTGGGGGGGAAATTTTGTAGTTTTAGGATTTATATTTAGATCTATGATACATTAATAGTTAATTTTTTATATGATTGAAGATATGAGTGCAAATTTTTTGTTTTGCTTTTGCATATGGGTATTCAGTTCTGGCATAATTTTTTAAAAAAGAATATTTTTTCTCCACTGAATTGCCTTTGCATCTTGGATAAAAATCAGTTGCTCATATATGTGTGAGTCTATTTCTGGGCTCTCTATTCAGTTCCTTTGACTTATTTGTCTACATTTAGGCACATTATTTTCTGAATGGAATTACTAGAATCACCCTTTCTTCTCTTCAGCTAGTTAGTGGGTAACTTATATATTAAACTTAGATTTTTGAGTCAAGAATTATAACTGAACCAAAATAGGGAAGGAATAAGTTATAAAACTTTGAAAAACAATGGAAAAGGGTTATAATGCATTTTCTCTACATCAAAAACAATTATTTTCTAAGATAAAATGGTTTACCAATAGTATATTTTTTCATTTGTATGTAGAAGTAATTTTACTTTCTTAACATACAACTACAAGTACATTTCTACAAATTTGAATTCTTAAGATTTTGAATCTGTTTACTATTTAAACATTTTGTCCTTTTTGATTGTTTATTCTACAGGACTAAGTTTGCAGCATGATATTTCTAGCTCTCTTCTAAGCTATTCAATCACAGATTCTTCTATAGAATGCAAGAGTTTTGAAGAGAATTTAAGTAGCTTCCCATCACCTGAACTCTTCAGAGGATCAGATTATTTAGGTAAGAAAATAATTTCAATTTTAAGTTGCTCCACTATAAAAATTGTTCCTTTGTCCACAATCTTCCAATGAATAATGATCTTTTTGAGAAAGCATACTTCCCTTCCTCACCAAAACCTCCTTTTCACGCTTTGGCTTTGGAGTTGGCAATGTGACTTGCTTTGGCAATATGATATTAGTGAATGAAACATATACAAACCTTTGAAATATGTTTAAATGGTCGGCTTGTCCTCAAGAGAAGAATATATGCTAATTAACTCCAGTGGGACCCCTGAATAACCGGCACAGAGCAGAGTGGCCCAGGCAATCTGGAGAGTGCAGAGGGCTGCCCAATTGATCAGCACACCTGGAATCTAAAGCAGAGCTGCCTGAGCCAACCAGTAGACACGGGAATAATAAATAAATGCTTTCATTTTATGCCACTGAAATTTTGGGGTTATTTATTATACAGAAAAAGCAAACTTCTTCAGATAATGTATTGAACACAGAAGAGGGGCGATTTAAATGAAACTATAGCCCTAACCGGTTTGGCTCAGTGGATAGAGCCCAGTTTGATTCTGGTCACGGGCACATGCCCAGGTTGCAGATTTGATCTTCAGTAGGGGGCATGCAGGAGACAGCCTGTCAATGATTCTCTCTCATCATTGATGTTTCTCTCTCACCCTTTCCCTTCCTCTCTGAAATCAATAAAAATATATTAGAAAAAAAATAAATGAAACTATACATTCTAAATTGTGGGACCTGTTTACCAATGCCTATTCTCATCCTACCCAACAGCTCATTTCTCTGCTCAGTTTCCAGAATGCTAGCACCCAGACTTGAACCTTCCAGACAGGAGAATGGAAGACAGTTTCCTAAGAAATCTGAGCAACCCTAGAAAAACATATCTAAAGATAGTGACTACAGTAGTACTTTGATGAAACTGACAAGAACACCCTACAGTGAAGCCAACCTTGTGACAAGCCACAATTAGGCCACAGAGAGTTCACTGAAGCTTTTTGGGCTCCCTCTTAAATGTTAGCAGAGAGCCAGGAATCACCAGACTTCTGAGGAGTCTCTAGCATAAAACATAGAGATAAAAACAAAGCAAAATATGGGAGTGACATCAGAAAGCTGTTGAAATAGGAAGCCATGGACCCTCCTACCCACCAATTCAACAGCAATACATAAACTAATCCCATTTGTGAGGAATCTAGAAACTAGTTGAGGGACTTCTTAACCTCAGAAAAGCATGAAACCAGCCACATCAAAGCCAGGAGGAAAGTTCAAGACACCCTTCCACCATAAACCCCACTTCCAGCATGGTGCCATATAATTGGCATGAAATCCCTAGCTCCAAGATTCTCCCTGCAAGCGAAGGAAAGGACTGAACCATGCATCAAATATTCTAAATTTTTTTGGAGCTACCCAAAGGATTGGATACCATTTTGCCTGTTCCAGAGTACTTATGGGACCTGACATACTCTAGAAGACTGATGGGTGATGAGAACAAAGATAGCAGCTTGGTCTAGCATGCAAGTTTTCATCTCACTTATCTAACAGAATTCAAAATAATCATCACTAAAGATGTTCAATGAGCTTAGGAGAACAATGCATGAAAGTAGTGAGAATTCCAAGAAAGGCATAGAAAACTTTTTAAGAATCAAACAGAAATCTTAGAGCTAAGGAATATAATAAATGAACTGAAAAATCTAATAAAAGGATTCAATAGCCAACTAGATCAAGCAGAAGAAAGAATTAGTGAATTCAGAGTGAAGAGAAAAATCAAACAGGTCAAAATATTTATTCCAGAGAGAGGCTTATTCACAGAAACAATGGCTAAAAAATCCCAAATCTGGGAAAAGAAATGTGTATTCAATTCTAGGAAGCACAAAGAACCTCAAATAAGATGACCCAGAGAAATCTACACTAGGACACATAAATTGTCAAAGTCAAAAAGAATTTAAAAGCAGCAATAGAAAAGTGGCTTGATATGCCAATGGGAACCCCATGAGACCATAAATATATTTCTTAGCAGAAACCTTGCAGGCCAGAAGGTAGTGAAATGATACAGTCAAAGTGGGGAAAGAAAAAACTGTCAGTCAAGAATACTATGACTAGCAAAACTATCCTTAAAATCACAATGAAGTGATAAAGACCTTTCCAGACAGACAAAAGCTGAAGGGGTTAATCATTTCTTGACATGCCTGATAAAAAATGCTGCAGGGAGTTTTTCACATTGAAACAAGATTCTAAACAGCAATATGAAAGCATAAAACACTAGTAAGTATGTAGACAAATACAGAATAGTTAATACTGTAATTGGTATGTAATTCACTTAATTCTAGTATAAAAGTTAAAAGACGGTATTTAAAATAATTATAACTATAAAAATATGTTAATACACAATGTAAAAAGATGTAAATTGTAACAGCAATAACTGTGAGGGGAAAAGTAAAATGTAGAGTTTTTGTATATGATTGAAGTTTTTATTAGTTTTATGTTAAAACTAAGTTTCGTGGTAACCACAAAGAAAATACCTATAGAAGATACACAAAAGAAAAATAGATGTTAAAGCATGTCAATATGTACATCAATAAAAAATAAAGGATGATGGCAAGACAGGAAAAAGGACAAAAGGACTATCAAAAACAAAAACAATTAACAAAATAGTAATAGTAAGTCCTTCGCTATCAATAATTGCTTTAAATGTAAGTGGATTAAACTCTCCAATCAAAAGATAGTGGCTGAGTGGTTTTTAAAAGACTGACTCACTTTAGACTTAAGGACACACATGTTGAAAGTGAAGGGATACAAAAAGACATTCTATGTAAATGGTGACCAAAATAGAGCAAGAATGGCTATACTTAGATAAAATAGAAATTAAGTCAAGACCTATCACAAAAGACAAAAAAGGACATTATATAATAATAAAAGGTTCAACTCACTAGGAACATATAACTATTTAAAATAAATATGCACCCAACATCAGAGTATCTAACATATAAAGTATACACTGACATAACTAAAAGCAAAAGCAGGCAATAAAATAATACAATAGTAGGAGAATTTAGATACCTCACTTTCAAATAATGGACAGAATGTCTAGATAGGAAATCAGAATTTCTTGATTTCAAAATATATTGCAAATTATATTTTACAGTAACCATATGATACTGGCATAAAGAGACATAAACCAGGTAGAACAGAATAGAGAGCCCAGGCATAAATCCATGTGTATGCAGTCACCTCATCTTTGACAAGGATGCCAAAAATACATAATGAGGAAAGAGTAGTCTAACAAATGATGTTGGGAAACGATATCCACACACAAAAAGTGAAATTGGACCCTTACCTTACACCATACACAAAAATCAACTAAAAATGGATTAAATACGTAAACATAAGATCAAAATCTATAAAACTAGAAGAAAACATAGGGGACAACTTCATGACATTGGTTTTGGCAATGATTTGTTGGATATGACACCATAAGCACAGGTAACAAAAGCAAAAATAGACAACTGGAACTACATCCAAACCAAAAAAGCTTTTGCACAGCAAAAACAATGAACAATGTAAAGGCAACCTACAAAATTGGAAAACATATTTGCAAACTTCATATATGATAAGGGATTAGTATCCAAAAATATATTGCCCAGTTCTGAAATCAATAAAAATATATTTAAAAAAATATATTAAGAAATTCCTCCAACTGGGGGGTGGGGAGGGGAACACAAATAACATGATTAAAAATGGGTAAAGGACTTGAATAGGTTTTTTTTTTCCTCCAAAGAAGACACAACTAGCCAACAGATATATAAAAAGACATTCAACATCACTAATCAGGGAAATGCAAATCAAAACCACAATGAGATACCACCATATCTGTTGGAATGGTTATTTTTAAAAAGATGTGTTGGCAAGGATGTGGAGAAATTGGAACCCTACCCTTTTGATGGGAATGTAAAATGATACAACTATTATGGAAAACAATATGGAAGTTCCTTAAAAAATTGAAAGTGGAACTACCATATGATCCAGTAATCCCACTTTTGGATATTTATCCAAAACTAGAGGCCTGGTGCCCTCTTGCAGTCCAGGAGCCCTCGGGGGATGTCTGACTTACGGCTTAGGTCTGCTCTCCTTGGGAGCGGGCCTAAGCTGGCAATTGGACATCTTTAGCACTGCCGCAGAGGTGAGAGAGGCTCCTGCCACAGCCTCTGCATTCGCCACCCGTGAGCCTGGCTTCTGGCTGAATGGTGCTCCCCCTGTGGGAGTGCACTGACCACCAAGGGGCAGCTCCTGCGTTGAGCGTCTGCCCCCTGGTGGTCAGTGCGCATCATAGTGATCAGTTGGCCTGTCCTTTGGTCGTTCAGTCGCTTAGGTGCTTATATATATAGATAGCCAAGAGTGGAAATAACTTAAATGTCTATGGGTGGATGAATGCATAAAGAAAATATAGTATATACATTTAATGGAATGTTAGCCTTAATGCCTGTCCAGTGTGGCTCAGCGGTTGAGCATTTGGCCTATGAACCAGGAGGTCATGGTTCAATTCCTTGTCAGGGCACATGCCTGGGTTATGGGCCCCACCCCCAAAAGGGGGCATGCAGAAGGTAGCCGATCAATGATTCTCTGTCATCATTGATGTTTCTATCTTTTTCTCCCTCTCCCTTCCTCTCTGAAATCAATAACAAAATTTTCTAAAGAATATTCTGGTTTAAAAGAGCCTAGCACAACATGAAAAACACCAAGATAGAGCATTATGAACTTCAGAACACCAGATAATGGAATAAATAGGATGGATTTATACAATTTTGTAGTTTTAGGTTAAATAGATGAAAAATAGAGAAAACTAAGCAAACAAAAAGACTTCTATTAACCCCAGGGAAAGCAAAAGGTAGTCATAGTATACCACAAGAATAATAGTGTTTTTTATGTAGACATTACCATAATGTCTACATTGAATGTTCATCTAATTAAATATGTGATATAGTAATATGAGGACAATGGGAGAGGTGGGAACAGGGATGTAAAAGAGAATAGCCTCATTTTTCTTTTTTTTTTTTGCTGCAAAAAACTTTATTGTTTCATTTGGTTCAATGCATGGGAGAGGGCTTTAGGGTGGTTAAAAGAATGGCTAGTAGTTTGGGGAGAGGCTCAGGTAAAAGCCAGACACCAGGGGAATGCAGAGGGGCCCCTCAAAAGCCTCTGGGCTCCAAAGGCTCCTAGTTGTGCTTGAGGGTGAGCCTTTTGAAGAGATACTACTCAGCCTAGTCTGGGGGCCGGCCAGCCTGCTGATGTTAGTCAGGTGGTTGCCCATCTTCTTGATGAGTTTCACCTCCTCAACCAGGAAGTGGTTCTCCAGGAAGTCACAGAGATGAGGGTCTGCACTGGTAGAACCCAGGGCAGACAGCTCCAAAAGGGCCTGGTTCAGGTGCCTCTCCAAGGCCAGGGCGGCTTCCATGGCATCCTGAGTTTTGCCCCACTCATCTTGGGACGGCTTTAGCACCTCCTGGAAGAGAATGTGGCCACTGTGCTTGTTTTGCAACTTTAAGAATTGGAACTCCCATTTGACCCAGTAATCACACTTCTAAGACTATATCCCAAGAAACCAGAAACACCCATCAGAAAGGATATATGCACCCTTATATTCATCGCAGCACAATTCACCATAGCTAAGATTTGAAACAGCCTAAGTGCCCATCAGCAGATGAGTGAATTAGAAAACTGTGGTACATCTACACAATGGAATATTACGCCGCTATAAAAAAGAAGGGACTTTTACCATTTGCAAAATGGATGGAACTGAAGAGCCTTATGATAAGCGAAATAAGCCAGTCAGAGAAAGATAAATATCACGTGATCTCACACATATGTGGGGTATAATGATCAACACAAACTGATGAACAAAAATAGATCCAGAGACAAATGGCAGGGAGGGGGAGGGGGGCGGGTTAGAGATCAACCAAAGGACTTGTATGCATGCATATTAGCATAACCAATGGACACAGACACTGGGGCGGTGGAGGAATGCCCTCAGGGGTGGGTGTGGCTGGGAGGGTCAATGGGGAGAAAGGAGACATATGTAATACTTTAAACAAAAATAAATAAATAAATAAATAAATAAATAAATAAAAAGAAATGCTCAACGCCCTCGGGCTTCTTCTCCACCAACTCGCAGAAGTGACCCATTCCCTCTAGAGCAGCCGTGGGCAAACTACGGCCCGCGGGCCGGATCCGGCCCGTTTGAAATGAATAAAACTAAAAAAAAAAAGACCGTACCCTTTTATGTAATGATGTTTACTTTGAATTTATATTAGTTCACACAAACACTCCATCCATGCTTTTGTTCTGGCCCTCCGGTCCAGTTTAAGAACCCATTGTGGCCCTTGAGTCAAAAAGTTTGCCCACCCCTGCTCTAGAGCCACATTATCAGGTCAAAATAAAAGCCCAGAGAGAGGTAGGTGTAAGAGGCCCACAGGTGCAGGTTGGCCAGGTGGTTGACCAGAGCCTCCACCTCGGTGGAATAATTCTGCCGAATTTGGGAGCTCATGGTTGTTCAGCAATGAGGAGTTAAGGTAGAAAAAAACAACCCGGTGTGTTGGCTGGTCTTAGATGTGGTTCTGAAGGTGGTGACTGGATAAGACATTAGAGAGTGGCCAGAGGCTGGAAGAAGGGGCATCTCTGGATCTGTTCTGTCCAAACACTGTTGAAGCAAGAGACAGATCCAGGACCACAGAGGGCACTGCCAATAGCCTAAATTTCCCATAGTGGGAAGTCAATGGAAAGTTTAAAACTGACATCAAATAATAACACTATGTTATTTAGTGATATGATAGTTAATGGGACATAGGTATAACATACATAAAATATGACAAGGAGCTCCCATGTGTGCTGTCTGTCCCTTAGATCAATAATCTCCTTGGGGCAAAAGTCTGAAAGAGTGGGTTAGAGCATGGGAATAGGCCAAGGCTTGTCTTTTTTCTCTTTCTCATCCAAAATGTTAGTTATCAGAACTGTGCACGGGCTGGGGACCTAAGCTGAAGTAGGAAAGGTAACCTGCCACTTGTGTGCTATTGTTCAAAGTTTTGTGCCATTTCTCCCTGCTTTGTTAGATTGGGAGTGTCCCAAGTTGGAAGAATACATGCAATGCAAGAATTCTACTCTTCTGGATACCAGTAAAGCAGTAGCAATAGAGAAGGCACCACAGTTTTCAAACCTCTCTGCAATTTTAGGTGAGTTTTTACATTCTTTTTTCTCATATCACAGGAGAAAACCTCAATACTTGATTAAGGTGGTATCTGTTGGTTTTCTCCATTATAAAGTTACTAGTTTTTCTTTGTAGTTAATAAATATTTAGAAAAAGATAGTTTGAAATTCTGAAAATCCTGTCTCCTCAAACTTTCATTCACTGATATTACCAGACATCAGAGGATACTGACTGCAACAGTTATTTACATTTCAATAAGTAGAGAAAGTGTATGTGATTAAAATTCTTCATTAATTATCCTTCCATTTCCACTTTCCTGAGATTTTCAGGCTCTCTCTTTCTTTCTTTTTTTAAAATATATTTTTATTGATTCCAGAGAGGAAGGGAGAGGGAGAGAGAGAGAGAAACATCAATGATCAGAGAGAATCATGGATTGGTGCCTCCTGCATGCTCCCTACTGGGGATCGAGCCCACAACCCAGACATGTGCCCTTCACCAGAATCAAACCCGGGACCCTTCAGTCCCCAGGCCAACGCTCTATCCACTGAGTCAAACCAGCCAGGCCAGGCTCTTTCTTTCTACTGCAACTTTTCTATCAGCATTTTATATAGAGTTTAATTACTCCTGTGAAACCTGGAACTCTTGAGATAAATATATTTTAAAGAATACTTTATTCTATCTGTCAGATTATTCAACATATATATTTTTTCTTCTAAAATTATTACAAAGTCAGTTATTAGTGTTTTTCATATTTGAGTTTTCTGTACTTATAGTGAATGATAAATTAAATAATTAAAATTGTAAAGTATGTTTTTATTTGTAGATAATGCAGCTTGTGAAGTACTTGCTGAGAAAACTTACCCTTTAACACCTGAAAAAACAAAGAAAAAAGCAAGTATTAAAGCAGAATAGCTATATAAACTGTAAATTTTATTAACATAGGACATATTTTTAACCAACACTTTTATAGGAATAATTTTTCAGCTATTTAAGTCAATAATTCAAAACACTTTTTGAGTTTAGCAATTATATTACACTAGAGGCCCGGTGCACAAAAATTTGTGCACTCAGGGGGGAGGGGAAGCCCTCAGCCCGGCCTGTGCCCTCTCGCAGTCTGGGACCCCTCGGGAGATAACGACCTGCTGACTTAGGCCTGCTCCCGGGTGGCAGAGGGCAGGCCCAATCCCTAGGTGCAGCCCCTGGTCGGGCTCAGAGCAGGGCCAATTGGGGAGTTGGGGCGCCGCCCCCTGTCATGCACAGAGCAGGGCGGATCAGGAGGTTGCGATGCCACCC